CAAATGATGTATTGCATTGGGCAAATCTGCTGCACAAGACCTTTTTTTAAGTGTTGAAGAGCAAATATGTCAGCTTGAGGACTAAGGTGCGCCTGACTCAAGCCATGGTATTTTCAATAACTTCATATGCATGCAAAAGCTGGATAGTGAATAAGGAAGACTGTAGATGAATTGATGCTTTTGAGTTATGGTGTTTGACTAGAATATTGAAAGTACTATGGGATGCCAAAAGAACCAACAGATTTGTACTGGAAGAAGTGTAGCCAGAGTACTCCTTGGATGCCAGGATGGCCAAACTTCGTCTCTCATACTTCGGACATATCGTCAGGAGGGACCAGTCGCTGGAGAGGGATATCATTTTTGGTAAGGTGGAGGGTCAGAGAAAAAGAGGAAGACCCCCAATGAGATGGATTGGCAAAGTGCTCATCATCAATGAGCTCAAGGGTGGCAACAATTGTGAGGTTGGCCCAGGACCAGGAAATGTTTTGTTCTGTTGTGTATAGGGTTGCTATGAGTCGGTACTGACTCGATGACACCTAACAACATCATACAACTGTCAGTCAGCACTGTTTGGTTGGTTATGTGCTGTGGAGTCGGTTCCAAGATTATTAATCTTTACCAGAGCAGAAAGCTTCATCTTTCTCCCATGGAACCGATGGTAGTTTTGAACTGCTGGCCATGAGATTAGCAGCCTGACCTTGTAACCACTATGCTACCAGAGCTTCCTGTCAGTCAACACTAGCATGGATAAATAACCTTATACTCACATAATGGAATGCTACACAATTATTAAACACAGAAGCTACACTCTGATCTATCTGCACAGATGAATCTCATAGACAAGAGATGAGTACATGAAGTCAGAAGGGCAAAGAAAGAGCCCATTTGATATAGTTCCATTTACATGAAGTAGATGGAGGGTCAAACTTAGCCTGCGGTGACAGAAGTCAGAATACATACCATCCTGCCAGGGGTAGTGGGTACTGTTTGTGAGGAAGCATGATGGAACCTTCTGGGGTATCAGGAATATTCTCCATCTTTATCTAGGTACTGTTACCTAGGAATGTTCTTGTTTTTGCTGTTGAGTTTATTCTGATCGTGGTGACCCAACTTGTGCCAAGTAGAATTGTTTTATGATGGTACCTTTCAGAAGCAGGTCGCCAGTCAAACCCTTAACCATTTGTGCCACCCATGTTGTACACAGATGCAAAGTTTCACTGAGGTAAATAATGAGTTCGTATGTAGTATACCTTGATTTGAATCTTTTAATAAAAATAATTGTAGGATAAATGAATCCTTCTTGTTTCAGGAGCTTAGCAAAGAATTCAAACACTATTTTCAAAATGATAAAAATGGACAAACTCACCATGCGAGATGAAAATCATGGCAAAGCAGGCTACACCTGCCACCATATTCGATACAGCCAGTGGGTAGAGGCGGCCAACGCGGTCGATGGTAAGGAGGATGAAGAAGGAAGCAGGGAACTCAACCAGGGCAGAGTAGAAGAAATCCAGGTAGATGTTCCCACCAGTGGTACCCATGTGCATGATGAGGCCCTGATAGACCACAGAACTCGTGAACCTGAGCAAAGAGGAGAGAGTGCATCAAAGGTGAGCTCTGTGTACCAGGAGACACTGAAAACATCTGGTGGGAGGGAAGGAAGATGTAGCCACTAGGGAGACACACAGGTCCCATGGTTTAGAATGTCCTAGAGCAGAAGGAGAGAGGGACAGAGAAGTGAAGAAGGTGTCCCAGAGGGCCCTCAGTGAGAACTTCTGTACATTATTTATGTGACAGTGTGGCTTGCAGCACACGCTCGGGGTTCCTAGAAAACAGAGAACAGAGTGGCTGGCACACCACTGAGCACTGTGCAAATTTTACCTCCACTAACACTCCAGTAGACTAAGAGGGGACCAGTGGGAAATTCCAGGGGGTCAGTAAGCAGGCTCAAGCTTTATTACTCTGTGACCTTGAGTAAGTTATCTAACCTCTCTGTGTCTTGATTTCCTCATTGTAAATGGAGATAAAGGAGCCCTGCTGGTGCTGTGGGTTAGGCATTGGGTTGCTAACCTGAGTGTCAGCAGTTCAAACACACCAGCCACTCTGAGGAAGAAAGATGGGAAGGAAAGTCAGTTCCCATACAGATTTACAGTCTAGGAAAGGCTGTGTAGGGCCGATGGCCATGGGCTTGTTTTGTTTTGTTTAGTGGAGCTAGTAATAGTGCCTTCCATGTCAGTTTGTCATGAGTGTTCATTGTTGTTGTTGCTGTTGTCAAGTGCTGTTGAGATGGTTTTGACTTTCCAAGGAGCAATTGGTGGGTTTGCACTGCTGACCTTGTGATTAGCAGGCCAGTGCTGATCCCACAGCACCACACCAAAGCATGCTTGGTCTAGTTTTTGGTACACAGTAAGCACTCATGAAAAGGAGCTTCTATTGTCATTGGCATCGTCATCATCATTATCTCATCCAAGGCTACGAAGGTAGGGATGGTGGCCAAGTCTTTCCCACTCCACACCTGGGCTCTCTCAGTCTTACCATCCTGTCTTTAATGGGCTCTATTCACTCACTCTGTCTCACATCACAGCCCCATGCACATTCCCCCATCCATAATGTTGATGAGAGCAAATGGAGTTGTGCTTGTCCAATCATAGAATTCTCCCTGTCCAGGCAGGTGACCCAGGTCTGACTCTCAGCCAATGCATCTCATATACAGCCGTCACCAGTCTGTGGAGGAATGAGTGTTGCTAGTATGCTGGACAATGGAGCTTCCAGATGAAGATGGAGTAGCAAGAAAGATTTGGTGATCTACTTTCAAAAATCAGTCCATGAAAACCAGATTAACTGGGGTGAAGGGAAAGGCAACATACAACAAGGGGAACATCAGCACAGTGTGATGGAGGCTCAAGAAGACACTGGGAAGAGCTTAAACATTAAAGGCAGCAAAGGTAAAGGTTTTTAATACAAAGAAAGAACAAGAAATGTCTATGGATCACAATGGTCCAATCCACCAGCACAGGATGGGGCAGCATTGGGTTCCATTGTGAATTGGGTCACCATGAGTAAGAGGCCAACTCTAAGGCAGAGAACGCCAACAAGAGCAATGCTACAAAGCATGGTGACTAGGCTGATGGCGACTTGTTAAATCACCCTCAAGTAAACATTTAAAGAGCCTCATGTGGGCTTATGAAATGTGGACTCCTGGTGTGAGACTATCGTGGTGGAGGATCAGCACTAGACTGACAAACGCCAGTTGGGTGACTCAAATCCACCAGTCACTCCTCAGAAGCCCTGTACAGGGTCGCTATGAGTCAAAACCGACTCGACGGCACTTACAACAACTGTGTCAGTCACTGCTGGTTAAATTATATGATTTTGTTAATGTTGATGTTTACATTGTGAGAAGAGATTTGGGTAACAAAAAATGATGTCTGCAAATTACCTACCAACTTCAAAACGGAGATTACAACTGGCTTTTCTAGGTAATGCCCCAATTTGTCTTACAAAGCTTCACCCACAGAAGTATGCAAATGCTTTTGTTGCTAGTTACAACTGATTCCTGATTGGACAAAGAGTTGGGAGAATAAAAAGGAAAGGACCTGCAACATCACTAGGGGGTTGCACCATAAAATGTTTGTGCGATTTCAGCAAAACTTTTATTTCTAATTAAAATGTCCCTGTAGTTCATTACAACAAAAGCATGTTTCAAGAGCCCAGCTTACTTACCTGCATCAGTATAGCCACAAAGCTATACTCATTTACTTTTTGAACCTTTTAATAACACACTCTGGTCAGAGCTGTCATTAGTACCTAATTACCAAGATATATCTAATCACATGGGTTTACATACTACAAACACGTGCTGTTGTGTTCATTGACAATGGTGCTTTTATGATCGCCAATTTTATCAAATTTTCTATTGTGTTAGCTACAATATGAAGGTACACAGTATTTGTGAGCTTTTATCAATAACTGTTGTGCTTCCGCCTCTTGACTGACGTGACATCCGAGGACGGAAATCCCACCTTTGAGCTGGACTTAAGGGCCGTAGCACAAGGAGATTCGTGTTTAACAGCGACCACACAACCGCCACTCGTCTGTCTGTTGTGCTGTGGTGGTTTGAATTGCTGTAATTCTGAGGACTATGCCACCAGTATTTTAAATAACCAGCAAGGTCACCCATGGTGGTCAGGTTTCAGATGAGCTTCCAAACAAAGACAGACTAGGAAGAAAGAATGACAAACTACTTCCGAATCGCTAGTCACTGAAAACTCTATGAATAGCAGAGAAACACTGTCAGATACAGGACCGGAACGTGAGAAGGCACTTAGAATGTGACTGGGGAAAAAAAAAATGTCTCCTCCAAGTACAGGAGAGCTCACAGAACCTTCATTTGCTAATAGGCCACAAATAAAAATGAAGAGAAACAGCTGTAAACATCCATTGAAAATCGGAACATGGAATGTATGAAGTATGAATCTGGGAAAATTGGAAGTTGTCAAAAATGAAATGGAATGCATCAACATCGATATCTTAGGCATTAGTGAGCTGAAATGGACTGGTATTGG